AGTCTCATGGAGTCAGGAGGAACTCTAAGCTCTCCTGTGAAGGTGCAGGGGTCCATTTAAGATACGTACGAGCCCAACAAGTGTGAAGAAGTCAAAGCGAACCACAGATTAGAAAAGATCTCTCTGTTAAAGCAGAATCTGTAGCTCACAGTGTACAACACCTCTCAGTGTGATAACACACTAGCAGGAACACGTTTCCTCTCATGTGTGCAGCAGCTCAGGTCCAGACTGGGCCGCACCGGCGCCGTGACCTGAATCTGCAGCTCCTCTCGGGCCTCAGTGTGGTGATGGATTGTTGTTGTTCTGAAACTTTCAGTGTTTCATCTTCTGTTAAAAACTGGACTTCATTACTTAGAAACTGCTCCAGCTGTAGATTCAGGCTCTGCTAGTGGCTCTGGGCTCCAGCTGTGAGAACTCCTCCTTGCCACCGTTGAAGTGCAGCCATATTTTTCTGTCCACTGTTTCTGCAGCAGAATCTGGGTCAGCCGGTCTGCGGGCAGATTCCTCCTAAGGGAGTTGTGTCTGGTTTCCTGGCTCGCCGTGCTGTGTGATCAACACTTTCTGCTATTGGTTTCATTATTTTACAACCTGCTGCAGATTCCCCCTCCAGGATGTTGATTAACTGATTGATTGGTTGTGGAAGCGTGGCTGATAGCGCTTCCACTGGATGGCGGGATTAATGGTAAACTCTGAGGAGCTCAAATCTGAAGATTTCAGTGGATCTGACAAAGTGCTGACCGCAGCATCAATATCTGCTTTTTGTTATCACACACACACACACACACACTCACAGACACGTGAAGGATGATGATGTGATGCAGTGTGATGGTATGTGATGAAGTTCACCTTCTCTCAGCAGCACACATGCTCTGAATGACATTTCACACTAAACTCCCATGAGCCTCGAGTGTTGCAGTGGGCAAACTGCCAATCAGAGAAGTGAACCTGAATGCTTCATGTCTGCAGAAACTAATATCAACTCGAAGTCTTTCGTTTACATTGAAATAAAATTGGGATATGAGTCTGAGGGAACCTGCTCTGATCTACTCAAATTTATCATGTCGGGTGCTCTGTGCGACTTTTCTATTAGTCAGAAGATTTTTATTGTTACTGAATGAACCGATTCTAACTTAACCTAAATAAACAGGCCTCCTTGACTCCTTCAGGAGCCGTCAGTGGCCCATGGACTGATTTCTGCTTTCTCTGTGAAGGACTTGGACATCCTAACCCTCCCTGCACCTCCTGCTCTCTCCCCTCACAGCTCGAGACTGTCACAAAATGATAAAGTCAAGAATAAGATGAGAAAAAAAATATAATCGTCCTGTAGGTCATCAAATGATATTCCATCATTTTATCATCACCTTCATCGTGATGAGCCTGATGATCGTAATCATTCAGAGACAGGCGGGAAACAGTTTGTGTTGAATCATTAAAGTGTAAGTGCATCAAACTGACTCTCCTCACTGAGCATGCTCCATCATTAAAGCCATCATCTTTATTCATCACTAAAGCCGTTTCATCAGGATCATTATCAAACCCTCAGCTCTGAGCGTCAGCGCTCGGCTCTCACACTGTCTGAAGAGATTATGGTGCTTTTACTCCGAAGGAGCAGAGGAGATCCTCTCAGAGCTCTGGGTTACTGAGAGATCAGCAAAGTAAAACCGCAGAAGAAGAGAATGAGTTTGGGAAAGCTCTCAAAGACTTTGCTGTTGATGCAGAAGGAGTTTGATGGAGCAGATATTTTATTGCCTGATTTTCTTGAATTTACCTCTCTACTAAAATTGAGCTGAGGGTGTTTCCTCCAAATTAAAATATTAATGACGAATGACAGGATGAATGTTGGTGTTCAGCCTACAAATCCTGCTCAACTCTCACTTTCCTTTCAGCTTAGCCGTAAGGATCTCCAACCACCCAGACTCTGAGCATTTGCACTGTTCATATTTGTGACCTCAGTGTGCATCTGAAAGCATATCGATCACGCGGGGAGTCCGGCCATCAGAGGAAACATGGTCATCCACACAGTACCTCAAAGCTGAGGCAGTGACATCACATTAAAGACGCTCAACAGTCAAAACCTTCAGACATCCTGCAGGTTCATGTGCGCATCAGCAACAAAGTTTGATATAAAGTATTTCAGTAGGTTTATGTGGTTTTCTACCATAATAATAATTGTTAATATAACACTCAGAGACCGTCAGTGCTTAAACGTTTTGTCCTTGTTCTCGTTGTTTTTAAAAATTTGGTTCAAAAACAGTGCAATATTCCTATTTGTGTGAAAAAATATTTGTGCTGCAATGAACCAGTGAACTAAAGGTGGGTGCTGTATCTTATTATCCTCAGCTGATGTCAGTTACTCCACTGAGGTCAAAGTCATTACTGGCGGAACACCTACTAACGCCCATATTTGATCAAACACACAAGTTTGTGTGTGTGTGTTTGCTATAAAGAGGTGAATACACAGCAGAGTCAACACACACACCCTCCTTGATGAAGGACGTAGTCACATGACTGACACAACCATACACAGCCACACACACACACACCTGTACTCTGAGTGTGTTTCTAATTGGGTGAAACACACTGAGACAAGGTCGCAGCCTCTGATTGGCTGCCTGTGAGACGCGGTGGCTCGAGCTTTGAAGGTTTGCAGGAGGAGACGAGGCGATCCGTCACTGACTCAAACTTCACCTTGAGCGAAACATGAAACTCGACAGGAAGACAAAGAGGACAGAAGTTTACAGAAGTGACTTCCTCTTGGAACCCGAAGAATGGAACCTGAACCGCTTGATGTGGATCATGTTTATGAGGGTGATATTAATCAGTGCTGCATTTAGCAGCTGACATTTAGTCAGCAGCTGACACACCAGTTGTCGATATCTGAACTGCTTGGTTTATATCTTCATGCTGATATTTTGAAGTCTGAGTATTTGTTAGTCTGATGAATGTTTTCTCCACTCCAGACTTCAAATGAGTTTTTTCTAAAGGTCTTTACAGACCAGGTATTAGTTTGAAATATTTTTGGATTCCACATCCAGCCACTCACACTTTGGGGTATGTTTTTTTTTCTTCTGAACCAAGCTGGACTTTTCAGATTTTTCACATGCAAATAAACAGATCTGACCAATCAGAACACTGCATTTGGCAACTAGTGCGCTGTAGCTCAAAATGCAGCACTGAATATACAACAATATGAAAATGATAAAGTAATCCTGTTTAACGTCAGACCAAAGGAGACCCAGATTTCTCTGCCTCCTCTGATGTGGTCCCAGTATTTTTTAGTTTTTATTATGTTGTTTTTATTGCTACTGTAGATGATTATACAAAAGCCGTGCCATCTTCCTTTGATTGTTGTCTACAGATCAGTTTGAGCTAGAAAATATATCATTTCCACATGTGAAAATATTTGTTTTATATCTTACATTTTGAGATTTCTGTTGGTGTAAACTTAATCAGAGCGACCGATTTATTACTGAAAGCAATGATAATAGAAACTAAACATCTCCTTTGAAAAATCAGTAATTAGAAACCGAACAGTTACTGACATGTTCTGAGTGTTTTTGAGCCTCAGGGTGAATAAAGCTCGTGACTTTAGCCTGATGGATACACTCTCCTCTGTCCTAGCGTCTGAGCACTGAGCATGCTGGGAATGCCGCTGCTGTCTTACTGTTTGAAAGTGGGGCAGAATTATTTGGGTGTTTTAAAGTTTTGATGAATGTGTTGACGTGTGGTGGTGGTAATGCAGAGCTTTAGCGCCTCCACGTGGACGCTGACTGAACTGCAGTTTCATTCATGAAACTGAAGGTAAAACGCTGCATCAGCTCCATTTTCTGCAGAGTCTTTGAAAAAGCTGCATTTAGTTTAGTTATTGAGTATCTGTCACACCAAACCGACTGATCATAAATGAAGAGGAAACTGTTGACTGTGGTGTTCAGCTTACAGGAAAACAGATGTTTAACAACAGCTCGATGATCACACAGGATTACTGATTCCGTCTGACTGTTTGAGAGCTTCACCTTAAACCTAGCTCTTACCATTGTAGTCAAACAGCTCAATCTCTGTCTTTCTGATCATCAGACTTGTGTTTGGTTTGTTCAGGTGGGCAGCTTCAAATTTCAGTCAAGCTTGAAGGTGTCAGTTTTGGATCAGGGTCTTCTTTCTTTATCACCACCTCTCAGTCCTCTCAGCTGGATTCAACCCTGGACCTTCTTACTGTAAGGGGACAGAGCTAGCAGTTCACTGCTACACCACCTGGAGTCAGAACCAAAGGAGTCAAGCTAGTTTATAAAGTGGGTCCACATCAGAAATGCTCCAACTTCAGTCACAGACTGTTCTGTCTGCTCTTTATGCTCTGTGTTGTAACAGCACATATCAGGCAACATTTTATTCTCACTTGAATCACAGTAATGCAAACATTTTGTGAAATAATCGTTGCACTGCATGAAGACCAAAGATCTTAACACCATCTACCATCATGTTCGCTTCTTTACTGCCGTGCAAAGAAAAGAGACCCAGCATGCTTTTCCTTTTGTATGACATCACAGAGATGTTTGGGAAAATGACCTATCAGAGGCTGAAATACATCAACAGAGGTGCACTCATTTCACTGTAGCTTATGCTCAGCATAGGTCATGATTGTCTCCTCCAGTATAAATGACTCAAAACACAGTGTGTATACTGTGTCCCAGTCTTTCATTTACAATCAGGTTAACTTTGGTATCTTCATCATAAACACACTGAAGTTCTTCTTCTTTACACCTTTACAGGAATAAGCTTCATAGTGTGTCTGTGGGATCTTTGGTGTATTCAAATTTATTTGTCTTCAGGTTTTTCTAAGTGGGCGAAATCTGAAGAATCCATGATGCTCCACGTTTCTGTGCGAAAGAACAAAAACCCAGATATACCTGCTGTTGTTCAGACCCTCTGAAAATGGCAAATCTCAGTTTACACAAACTGCTGCTGACCTCACAGCCGGGCTGACCTCTGACTCTCTGCTCTCTTAGATATGGTGACATGGTGCCAAAGACCATTATGGGGAAGATCTTTGGTTCCATCTGCTCTTTGAGTGGCGTGTTGGTCATCGCCCTGCCGGTCCCTGTCATCGTGTCCAACTTCAGCCGAATCTACCACCAGAGCCAGCGAGCCGAGAAGAGAAGAGCGCAAAAGGTGAGGACTCCATATTATCCATTCATCCATCAACTGACACAAACTGTCTTCAGAGTGTAATGGGAGGACAGCAGTGACCTGGGATTTAGATGCAGGACATCAGTGTTTTTATGAAGAACTTTTTGTTTCTAATGAATTTAAAACTTTAACAGAAATTAACAGAATGTGAAGAAATAGTTATGACGTTATGTTCATTAATCAGTGCGGGCAGCTCTCAAGTAATCCCACACTGAACCACACGACTGTGCTGTGACTCTGGAAGCCTCCAGCCTGCCCTGAGGCACGCTAACATTATTGTTATATTCAGAGGTGGGACCAAGTCATTGTTTTGCAAGTCTCAAGTAAGTCTCAAGTCTTTATCCTCAAGTCTCAAGTCAAGTCTCAAGTAATGTCAGGCAAGTTAGAGTCGAGTCTCAAGTCACTGGTGTAAAAGTCCAAGTAAAGTCACAAGTCTGAAATTTTGAATTTCAAGTCCTTTCGAGTCTTTAAAAAAACCC